GAGACCAGCCTGGGCTACATAGTGAGTTCCAGGTTGGTCTCAACTACATAGTGAGACCCTGTCTCAAAAAACAAAACAAGCCAGGTTCAAGGCCAGCTTGCAATATAAAGTGAGATCTTGTGTCAAAAAAAAAAAAAAAAAGAACCAGGAAGCTGTAGCACCAGGGTACAGAAGGAAGACCTCACTGTGGGTGAGCATAGCTATTGAGGGTGGGGGGTCTCACCATAGTGCCCAGGTTGGCCTAAGTTCCTGGGCTCAAGTGATCCTCCTGCCTCAGCCTCCTGAGTAGCTAGAAGAGGAAGTTAATTATGTTCCCTGTGTTCTAAAGCTACACTCACAAGAATGCCACTGAAGGCCTCTTTTCTGAGAAGGAGCTGATAATAACTCAGGAAGGGTACAGCAAGGAAACCTGGGGTCTGGGACAGCCAACAAGCAGGTGTTTCTCTCCTGCCTCTTCAGAGGCTTCATTTTTGTTCTGGGTTTTTTTGTTTTGTTTTGTTTTGTTTTTTGTTTTCTGTGCTAGGGATTGAACTCAGGACCTTGAACTCATGAGGCAGGTGCAGTGTTGCTGAGCTACATCCCCAGCCCAGAGGCTTTATTTTTTTCAACTTGGTTTATGTGGGCCTGGCCTCCACTCACAGCAGAAAGAAGATGGAAGCAGGAGGTCTTACCCCTGCCTGGGGTGCTTGGGCACAGCAGTCCCTTCAGGGTCAGGAAAAGCCCCAGACCCAGGTGGGAACCCAGGCCTTGAGGCCAGCCTGGCCACCAGGCAGGCCCAACCAGGTGCTGCCCTAGGGTTTGTGGATGGCCAGCTCAGGGTGGGGGCTAGAGTGGTGCCAGGAGGTGGAGTCCCCACGTGTAGGAGAGTGATAAGGAGGCCTCAGAAGCCTGGGGCACTCCAGGCTCCAGTTCCAAGTGCAGGAGTCTGGGACAGGCCAGAGCCCAGTACTGGCCACCCCTCCTCAGGGGTCTTCCTCTCCAGGCCTGGCCCAGGGACCCTCAAGTCCTGCCAGGCTGGACAGTTCTCTCCCAGGTGGGGCCAAGGCTCCCTCACCTGGTGAGGCTGAGTAGATTCAGAACGAGGCTGGAGAGGGAGCTCTGGGGGCCCCTGCAGTCCCAGGCCGTCCCCAGGACACTGCTGCCTTTGGCTCCCAGGACCATTCACACTCAGAACCCAGAGCTCCTGGAAGAGTTCCTGAAGGGTCTTCCTGTTGTGACTTCTGTAGCAGGCCCGCCAGCCAGCCATGAGCCTCTGGACACACCCTGAGGCACCAGCAATGTTGAGGCTGGACATTCCCGAAATACCCAGTGCTTTGGGCACCACAGCCCTCCTTTGTTGGCAGAGTACAGGAGGACAGAAGTATAGGTCAGCAGCAGGACAAAAGTGACAGTTTATGTGGTTAAGAAGTGGCTAGGGGGCTGAGGATTTAGCTCACTGGTTCTGCCACCTGCCTTGTAAGTGCAAGGTCCAGAGTTTGATCCCTGGTACAAAAAAAAAAAAAAAAAAAAAAAAAAGTGGCTGAATTCTACCTGGAAAGCTGAGGATAGAGGAATGCAAGTTCCAGGCCAACCTAGGCAATTTAGAGAAACACTGTCTCATAGTGAAATTTTAAAATAGGCCTGGGGGGCTGGGCATGATGGTGCATGCCTGTAATCTGAGCACCTGGGAGGCTGAGGTAGGATGATCACAGCAAGTTCAAGGCTGGCCCCTGAACTACATAGCAAGACCCTATCAAAAAAAAAAAAAAAAAAAAAAAAAAAAAAAAGCATTTGGTCCAGGAATGTAGCTCAGCAACACAGCACTTTCCTGGAAAGAGAGAGGCTCTAAATTTGATTCCTTGGTATCAAAAACAAATAAATAAACAAACTAACTAATAAAATGGGTGTAGGGGGCTGGGTGTGACTGCGCATGTCTATAATCCCAGCACCTGGGAGGCTGAGGCAGAAGGATCACAGTGAATTTGAGGCAGGTTCCTGAACTATGTAGCAAGACCCTATCTCAGGGGGGGAAAAAAAAGCATTTGGGCCAGGCGTGCAGCTCAGTGACACAGTGCCTTGCTGGCAAAAGAGAGGCTCTGAGTTTGATTCTTAGTACTGAAAAAATAAATAAGTAATAGGTCTGGGGATGTAGCTCACTGGTAAAGCTCTTGCCTAGAATGTTCAAGGCCTGTGTTCAATCCCTAACACACACACACACACACACACACACACCAAAAAAAGAAGAAGAAAAGAAAGAAAGAAAAAAAGAAAGGAAGCCCCAGCAGGATCTAGGGTTGGGATCTCCTTAGCTAGGCACTGGGGTGACAGTGTCACACATCTTCACATGAGATAAATTAAACAATTGGCTCCAAGCATAAGATGTTCTTGCAGCCCCTCTGTTTGGTCAGGAAACAGCTGGAGCCAGACAGTCCCAGCCTGGAGCCGGAGGCCCATGCCCCTTTAGTCCCACGTCCTGTGTCTCCAGCACTGCAGCACATAGTGGAAGAAAGACTTGCGGAATCCTCCATAAGGGGCAAACAGTCCTGCCCAAGCTGAGCCTGCTCTGGTGGTTATGAGGGGCTGCTGGCCTCTCAGGGAGCAAAAAGCCCAGATGCCTTGGAGATGGACTTGCAGGGCCTTCCTGCCATTCCACAGCATCAAGACACCGCATCGGAGGGCTGGAGGCCTGAAGCCAAGGTGAACGTGTATCCTCACATCAACTGCTCTGACTACTCTGGAAACCTCACAACCACACATGTGCGATTCCACTCATGCAGGAGTCCTGTGTTCAGAGAACCCTGCCCCGGGGGAAGCACTAGCAGAAGTTAAGACCTGGGGGGAAGGACCCCACTGCACCAGAACACTTGGCATTCACAGTATGTCCCCTGTCTGGTTTTCCTGCCAGAAGCATTTAATTTAGACAGTCAGACAATACTCATTGGAGGACAGTCTGTAAAGCTCCAGGCTCTTCAAAAAGTCAGTGTTAAATCGGACGTGGTGGTACACGCCTATAATCCCAGTACTTGGGAGGCTGAGGCAGGAGGATTGCTGTGAGTTCAAGGCCCTGTCTCAAAAAAAGCTAGTGTTGGGCTGGAGATTTAGCTCAGTGGTTCCGCCCCCTTCCTTGCAAACAAAAGGTCCCAAATTCAATCCCTGATACAAAAAAAAAAAAAAAAAAAAAGTACATGTTAGCCAGGCATTCTGGGAAGCTGAGGCAGAATTGCAAATTCAAGACCAGCCTGGACAAGGTAGCAATTCAGGGAGACCTGGCCTCAGAATAAATTCTTTAAAAAGAGCCACGGATATAGCTCAGGGTTTAGTCTCCAGGACAGGAAAAAAATAATAATAAAAAAACAAGTCATTGGTGTGAGACCCACAGCAGACATGTGCACCACACAATCCCAACCCATACTTGGTGAAAAAACAAAAAGCACTCAGGTGTACTTTGGAGACAGGTTGAGAAAACTGCATGTGGACTGGTCAGGTGACTACTCTCCAGCCTTCCCATGTGACCACGGTGCTGTGCTTCCCTGGGGACACAGTCTTCCACTGAGGAAACACCTGTGGAAGTGTCCAGAGCCCAACTATCATATTTGCATAACTAATTAATTAACAGGAAAAGGCAGACAGGGTAGAATTTTTTTTAGTACTGGGGATTGAACTCTAGTCCGTATGCTTGCAAGGCAGGTAACAGAACCACTGAGCTAAATCCCCAGCCCTTTTTTTTTTTATTTTTTGAGACAGGGTCTTACTATGTAGTTGAGGCTGACCTGGAACTCACTATATAGCTCAGGCTGGTCTCAAACTCACAGTGATCCTCCTGCCTCAGCCTCATGAGTGCTGGGATTACAGGCATGCGCCACGACACCTGCCTAAGGCAGAATATTAGTAATTCTTGGGCTGGGGATATAGCTAAGTGTTGGAGCACTTGTCTAGTATGTGCAAAACCCTTGCTTTCATTTGCAGTACTAAAAAAATATATATTCTTGTTCTAAATAATGGGCACACAGGTGTTGATCATATTTTTCTGCTAGTCTTCTGCATATCTGAAATGTTTTTTTGAACTCAAAAATGTTGAGGAAACCTGAGCATGGTTGTATGCATCTATATACTCTGGGAGGCTGACACAAGAGGCTCACAAGTTTAAGCCCCGCCTGGGCAATTTATTGACTTAGGGAGACCCTATTTCAAAATAAAAATAAAAAGGGCTGGGCTCGGGATGTAGCTCAGCAGTGGTAGGGCATGCCTGGTTTCAATTCCCAATATCCCCCAGCCAAAAAAGGTAGAGTTGAAGTTAAGAGTGATGGTGCATACCTGTAATCCCAGCACTCAGGAGACTGAGGCAGAAGGATCACAAGTTCAAAGCCAGCTTGGGTAGCGTAGGAAATTTCAGACCAGTTTGGACTGCACTGAGACCCTGCTCCCTGCCTAAAAAAAAAAAAAAAAAAAAAAAAGGAAGAACTAAGTGTTCACATGTCTAAAAAGGACTAGAGTTTCATAAGGGTACCCTCAAGTAAACACTAAACTTCAAACCACCCCCTAGCCTGGGGGCTCGGCCTAGAATGGAGGTGGACAAGGCCCAGGGTCTCCCCACTCCACCCCTTCCCCTGCAGCTCTGGGTGTCAGAGATGTGGGAACCTCACAATGGCAACAGGGTCCAGAAGCGGAGCGGAGCCCTGAGCCAAGCCCCTGTGGGGAGGGCCACGATGAAGGAGGAGAAGGAATCCCCACAGGCCTCCATTTCCCTCTGCCATCCCCCAAGAGGCAAACCCTGCCAGCCTGGGAGTTGGGGTGACCCAGTGGGGACGCCCTGCTGTCTGCTGGCTCCCACCCCTCCCCCACTGACCGGACTGAAAGACGAAAGAGGAAAGACGCAGGTGTTTAGGAGGCAGGGAGGTGGGCTGGGTCTTGGCAGGGGTTCTTCTTGGGACGCCTGGGTCAGATGTCCCTTCAGGATGGGGACAGGCACGTGGGCTGCTATTCCCGGGCTCTGATCGTGGCTATTTATAGTGCTGGGGGAGGGGGCTCCCCACACAGGCAGCAGAGAGATTGCCTTGCTGCAATGTCACCATCAGCGCCACTGCTGCAGGCTGCTGGCACCTGCCGCCACTGCAGAGGACAGAGGGCCCTCAGCCCAGCAGAGACCCAGGACCGCCGGGCACGGTGTGAGGGCAGGCGGTGGCTGGCCAGATGGGCAGCACCATGGAGCCTCCCGGGGGTGCATACCTACACCTGGGCGCCGTGACGTCCCCGGTGGGCACTGCCCGCATGCTGCAGCTGGTTTTCGGCTGCACCACCTTCAGCCTGGTTGCCCACCGAGGCGGGTTTGCCGGCGTCCAAGGTACCTTCTGCATGGCTGCCTGGGGCTTCTGCTTCGCCCTCTCTGCCTTGGTGGTGGCCTGTGAGTTCACGAAGCTCCATGGCTGCCTGCGCCTCTCCTGGGGCAACTTCACGGCAGCCTTTGCCATGCTGGCCACGCTGCTGTGTGCCACGGCTGCAGTCATCTACCCGCTCTACTTCGCCCACCTCCAGTGCCTGCCCGAGCCTGCCGGTTGCACGGCCAGGGACTTCCGCCTGGCAGCCAGCATCTTCGCCGGGCTGCTCTTCCTGGTCTATGCCTCAGAAGTGGCCCTGACACGGGCACGGCCTGGTCAGGTCGCTAGCTACATGGCCACAGTGTCGGGGCTTCTCAAAATTGTCCAGGCCTTTGTGGCCTGCATCATCTTCGGGGCACTTGTTCATGACAGCCGCTATGGGCGCTATGTGGCCACACAATGGTGCGTAGCTGTCTACAGTGTGTGCTTCCTGGCCACGGTGGCTGTGGTGGCCCTGAGTGTGACGGGCCACACAGGGAACCTGGGCTGCCCCTTTGACCGCCTGGTGGTCGTGTACACCTTTCTGGCTGTGCTCCTCTACCTCAGCGCTGCTGTGATCTGGCCTGTCTTCTGCTTCGACCCTAAATATGGGGAGCCCAGGCGGCCTCCCGATTGCCCCCCGGGCAGCTGCTTCTGGGACAGTCAGCTGGTGATCGCCATTTTCACGTATGTCAACCTGCTCCTCTACATCGTCGACCTGGCCTACTCGCAGAGGATCCGCTTCGTGGCCACCCTGTAGCCTGGCAAGAGGCCGCCTGCCCACCCGTGATCACCAGAGGTGATTCCAAGAACAGGAAGGTGACCAAGGTGAACTGGGACCTCAGAGGCGAGCAGCAGGGAGGCTGAGGGCGCAGGGCAGGCATGGCAGAGAATGCTCTTGGACTTCTGGCGGTGCTCAGAGGCTGGGCTTGGGGTGGGAACAGAGGAAGGACAGAGGAGAAGGGGGCCCTCAGCAGCAGAGCTCATGGGCTCTCATTTTCTCTTCCCTGTCTCCATCTCCATCTCCAATCTTTATCTCCCATTTCCAGCCCTCCCTGGGCTCAGTGCTGGTCACTGTAGCACCTGCCATTGTAACCCACTTTGCAGCTGGGCACACAGACTAGACGTTGGTGGTTGCCCAGTGTGCCCATCAGTGTCGGGAGATGCGCTCAGGCTGGGTAATGTAAGTTGGAAAGGGGAGGTCTCCTGAAGGTGCTCAAGGTGTTGGAAATGAGCCAGGGAGAGCCTCAGAGCCAGCCGAGGGAGGGGAGGAAGGGCTGGAAGAGCCTCCTCATGGGCAGGGGCCATTCCTGGAACCCTAAGAGGGACTGTGCCAGCTCACAGAGAAGAAGCCCGGAAATCAGGACGAGTCTTGCCAGCCCGCACAGGGCCTCCCAGGGGCCACAGCCAAGGACCGTGGGTTATAGCTCAACAGGCTGGAGGTGGTGCTAGGAGCCTGGAAGGGCCCACGGAAGCCAGCAGTACTACCAGGAGCAGTGTGGAGAGGAGATGGGTCCCTACCCAGCGATGGACCCCCACCTGGACTCTCACAATGGGCCATAACCTAGCAATTGGGGTAGTGCCTGCTGGGCTCCCAGAGGCTGCCTTAGTACGCAGAATGAACAGGTGGTGAGGGTTGGGCCTGGACAGCCCCTGGGACTTGGCCTCTGGACTCCTCCAAGCATCCAGTTGTCCAGCTGCTCCTAACTGCCAAGGCCTGCTGGTATCATCATCTTCCATGTTCCAGCCAGCTTCTCCTGCATGTGAGCCCAGAAGGCACCAGCCTTGGGTGGCCCACCAGCAACCCAGAGCCCAGGCACCACTCACTGGCTCCCAAGGTCCATGAGCAGCAAATAAATGCAGTTGTGATGTTCATTTGCACCCTGGCTCAGGCCAAGTGGTCTCTGCTGAGGGGCTGTGGCAACTGTGTCTCCTGTGCTGCCCCTTCCCTGCATGCTCTGAGAGCAGGGCCAAGCCTAGGTCCTGGCTGCGGGAGGATGTGACCGTGGGGACACCTTGCGTTCAAGGGTGGAGAAAAAACCAGGCTTCGTCCCCTGAGGATCTGGGGCAGCCTCCTGAGAAAGGGACATTCAGGTTTTCCCCTCAGTGGGTGACAAGCAAGGATGACTCAGATGGGCCAGTGGGAAGAACAAAGACCAACACCCAGCTCACCCCCCTTCCTAGAGACCCCCAATACTCACCAGCTCCCCACATCCTGCCTGGGGTCTCCAGAGACTTCAGGCATGGGTGGACAGGTTGTTGGACCTTTTGGGCAGTGGAACCCAAGCAGTTTAGGTTCCAAAGGCCCAGAGCCAGGCCCTGTGTGGCACCATGTGAGCCGAGTGACCTTTGCTGGAAGGCTGGAGAGGGGTCTGGATCAGTGTCTTTTATTAGGGAAGGTGGGTGCTTAGGCTCAACAGCAGATTCCCAAGAGGTCTGGGCCCCGTGTTACCAGGTAACAAAGGAGCATGTGGGCCATGCCATCCCCAACGGCGGGGGGCGGGGCTTGGACACAGGGAGGGACCTCGCTTCCCTCTTTCTTTCTTTTGCTAGCACAAACTCTAAAACAAATTATGTCACCAGGCCCCTATTTTCTCACTGTCCAATGGCCTTCTGCCCACAGCTCCCCATCCAATCTAAATCTCAGAGGTCCCAAGAGAGGCTGAGGAGGAGAGGGATTAAGATGCAAGAAGAGGGTGCTGGAGGAATATGGGAGGGCTGGTTCTGCTGATGGTTACTCCCTGGGCCAGGGCTGACTCATTCGTGTTTGGGAGGAGTATTATTTGTCATTATCACCTGAAAAAAGCAACCTTTAAAAAGGGGAGCTCTATCTTTTTTTTTTTTTTTTTTTGTACCATAGATCAAACTCAGGACCTCACACTTGCAAGGCAGGTGGCTGCACCACCGAGCTACATCCCCCGCTCAGGGGAGCTCTGTTCTTAAAATGCAATGAACTCCTAGGTTTTGTGTCATGGGTTTGAGCTGTCACCGTGGGGCACATGTGTATTCCAGCAGCTCCTTCGGAGGGTGAGGCTCCAACTCCTCCCTCAGCATGCCCCGAACTCCTGTTGGTGGTGATCATGCGAGCCTGGTGGGTAGAACAACAAACCCAGCAGGCAGCCTCAGGGGCAGAAATGTCCTCATCATTCTGAAATTACATTCTGAAATGGCTTGTCTTCATCTAAGACTCAGAGCAGAAAAACTCAAATAGACCACCTCTGCCCTTGCAGGGGTGGGCTGTGGTGGTCATGGTTTCTATCCTGCTCCTGGTCCTGACGCTGGGGATTCCTAACTGCCCTGTGGCCTCAAAGCAGGCCGATGCACCCTGAGCACGTCCTGGGACGGAGAGATGACTAAAATCTTATTCTGCCTAACCCAGGACCAAAAAATCCCTAGGGCTCTGAGGGTAAGAAGTCACTACAAGATGCTCCTCCCCTATTTACTAGGTGACCACTTGTTTGGAGAAGATGGGGCCTAGCGGACAGAGGTCATAGAGGGTCGCCAGCTGTGAAAGGGGTGCCCACGGAGTTACACAAAGGAGAGACCCACTTCCTTGGGGAGGAGCCGCGCTCCGGG